ATCTCCTGAAAAGTCGTCTGAAATAAACCTTCTTCTTTCCTAAGTGCCCCTTTCGAGGTTTTAGTTAGAGGATGAAAGGCCCTGGTTTATGGACACAGTTTAATGGATGTTTATGAATACATTGGGCTGCTTTCAATTGTTTTTATATGTAAGTCTTATTTCTTCCACTAGAATTTAAGAGCTTTGCAAACAGGGACCATAAACAAATGCAGATAAAACGATTTCTAAAGCCAGCCATTTAAGTGTATTCCCTGAGCACATTGTGCATCTAATCTTCAGATACTTGGTTTTCTTACTTTATGAGATTGACTCATGATTAAATGAAGAGCTCTTCCTCAAGAGACTAAATGCTCACAATCACCGCATTTGTGCCGTCTGACAACTCACCCTCAAGGTATGGTGCTCCTGGGTGAGGTAAGTGGTCACTTGGGAGTGCAGAGTCACCGTGTCCAGGAACTGGGTCCACAGAGCCATCAGGTGGGAGGCAAGCCAGGCAAGGTCCTTGCTTATCTGCTCTGCTATCTTCTCCGGATTGTTCAGCATCTGAGAGGCAAGCAAGACCTCGTCAGGGCCTCCCACTCACGTGAGCTCCTGCAGTCTTCTTCCCCAAGTTCTCCCTGGCTTCTCTGCTCGCAGGGAATCTCTTCACTTCTCTATACATCTGTGGTGTTGTAGTGCAGCCTGCAGGCCCCCAGGGTCACGTTACCATACCACAGCTGATTCAGGAGTTAAAGCCACAATCACAGCAGTGAATGTTTTATGTAGGTAGCTCTTGTCTGCAAAATAACCTCTGAAGCCCTAGGTCTTACGGGCAAGATCACCCATTGTCTAGCACCAGCCTTTCTCTTCCTACACGGTTTCCCACTAGGAACATTTTACATAGGGTTCCACAAATGTCTTGCACATTTAGTGTTTTCTGGTTTACAGTGGCTACCCTTTTTCAACTCCTCCCTCCAATACCTCTAATCCCATCACCCACAAAATCCATCACCCACAAAACCCAATCAGCTCTACTCTCAATGCCAAGATCCAGTGATTATTCCTTCAAGGTATCTTCATTGTTGAGTCCAGCTAGGAACTAACCAACCATTCACACTGGACCAAAACTCTTCTAAGTACCACACATTCTCATTTAAGACTATAATGTATATCCCATTAAATTGTGAACTCTAAGCTTTCCAGTGAGTAGCTTACACTTATTACTATTTACTAGTAGGCAGGCAGAGTACTGGGCATCTTATATTTTCTCCCCATTTGCTCCCTACCCATACCCTGTAGTAAAGTTACTGTAACCATCCTTTTACAGAAAAACACAATGACACTGATGCAATAGGATTCTACTGAAGGATGGTATGACCACAAAGCTGCAATACCATCCACTGGCACACTGGTGTCCCCCAACATCTCGTGGGAGAAGACAAAGACTCTGTAACCCCACAGAGTCACTCTGGCTAGAAGATCATACAAGGAAGGTGTTCAGCAGAGGTCTGAACACGTCTGGTGACCCAACACCGTCTTCCTCCTACTGTCCACTTAAGAAGAATTCCGGGTTGCTGCAAATAAACACTCAAGAAACAAGACAAGTGCAGGTCTGGACCTTTTTGGCAGAAAACTGTTTAAAGAGAAACACTTTGTATCCCTGCAGCATAGAATGAGGACAGTCGCCTTCTTGGGCAGAAACTTGAATTTTAGAGAGACGGAAAGAAAGGTCAGATCTCTGAGGAGAGGCTGGAGGCAGTCACCAAGGCTGGACCCTGATCTCCAGGCCCCATCGTCTACTCCACAAGCATTTAGTGAGTATTGTTCATTCCCCTGATACTTGTGTTTAGAATAAATGGGGGGTGGGGAGGGCAGTAAGAGGGAGAAAGGGAGGTGATTTGGCATAGTGGAATAAGTCGCCTGCCTAAAACACCGGCATCACATATGGGTACCAATTCAAGTCCTGGCTGCTCCACTTCTGATCCAGCTCCCTGCTAATGCATCTTGGAAAGCAGCAGAAGATGGCCCAAGGACTTGGACCCCTGTACCCACATGGGACACCTGGATGAAGCTCCTGGCTCCTGGCTTCAGCCTGGCCCTCTGAGGTCATTGCAGTCATTTGGGGAGTGAACCAGTAGATTGAAGATATTTTCTCTCTCTCTCTCTCTCTCTCTCTCTCTCTCTCTCTCTCTCTCTCTTCATCCCAGCTCTGTAACTCTGTTTTTAAAATAAATAAATAGGGACACAAGATGAATCAGAGAGGGTCTCTGTCTGCAGGAAGCCCCTTTTAGTGATGGAGATAGGACATGAGTTAGCAACTGCACACGGCACGGAGCTCTCCATCATGTGTGAGGGCCCAGGGCCCAGAGATGTGCCCATTTCAACCCCTATTTTTTTCCCTTCTGGCCTGTGCTTTGGTTTCCTCATCTGTAAAGTGAGTACACAAAGCATGTGAGTGCTAAGGGAGGTAAGAACCTACAGAAAAATAGTCTACGTCTACCTCCTAGATTCAAACACTGGCATTTTCTTTGACTGTTTTTTTTTTTTATTTGACAGGTAGAGCCATAGACAGTGAAAGAGATAAAGAGAAAGGTCTTCCTTCCGTTGGTTCACTCCCCAAATGGCCACTACGGCCGGCTCTCTGCCAATCTGAAGCCAGGAGCCAGGAGTTCCTTCCTGGTCTCCCATGCAGGTGCAGGGGTCCAAACACTTGGGCCATCCTCCACTGCCTTCCAGGACCACAGCAGAGAGCTGGACTGGAAGAGGAGCAACCAGGACTAGAACCCGGCACCCATATGGGATGCCGGTGCCACAGGCAGAGGATTAACCAAGTGAGCCACAGAGCCAGCTCCTTGACTGTTCTTAAACTGAAGGCCGGTGCTAGATGAAGGCAGATCAGGGGGAGTGAGGCATCTCAGAGTATAAAAAAGCGACATAAATGCTGAGGACTATTGCTTTATACTGAGTGACTGGCTCCAGACAGAGTCATCACTGAACTTTTTGGTCTCTGATGACACAGCCACAAAACTCCAAGATGAAAGACCTGTTGCTTCCTCTGATGAATGCATGACCTCCAGCCGGACACATGGGAGGTGGGAGTCCAACAGGGAGTGGATGCTCTTGGCTCAGTGCCATACACCATCATCAAGAGTGTTTAAGAGGCAGACAAGTAAGGGTTGGGTGGGAGAGCCAAGTGTCAGTTACTAGAAAACCTCCAAGTTGGAAAGGGGGGCTGTGGGTGGGGCTAGCTGCATCGCACATGGAGATTCTCCAACCAGCGTCCGCCACAAATGGAATCCAACTCCTGCACCAAAGCGTCTCCGTTTGCTCCGATGAAGATTCCCCACCTCAGCTCTGGCCTCTGGCTGCCTCCCTCTGTGGCCCAAGGTAACCCGCTGCTCGTCCTCCCGGCCCCCACCACTTGCTTACACTGATTTCCACACACCTGGCTACTTCCAGCCACCAGGCCCTTGGTTGGGCTTTGCCCTCTCCCTAGAATGCCTTCTTCACTACCTTCCAGTTTCCCTTCTCTCCTTGTCACCACTGTAGGCTTGTCTGTCCTCTGCAGGTAACCCTGTAGGAGCCAATCCCAGGCCTTGGTTCTGGAAGACGCTTCTGGAACTCCGCTGTGCTCCGAGTGTGACACTCCCCTCTCTCTGCATGGCCTGCTCTGACTGCTCTCATTGCAACCCAGCCACACACTGCAGAGCCACACTCTGCTCTCCTTTCTCCTGGGCCGCATTGGAGCTTTTGCTGCCTCAGCATCCCAGCACCAGCACAATGGCTGGCAGACAGGGGCCGTCCAGTAACTTGCTATGGAATAAATAAGGGCTCTGGCATCATGGGCAATGCTCCACACCTCAACAACTCAGACCATCAGCCCCAGCACTCCCCTCGGCTGCAGTGGCCCTGGCCAACACAGTGCGAATTCTGAGCTCAGCCACCAGAGCGCAGAAAGGAAAAAGGAAAAACTACTCCTTAAAGGTATCTTTGGGAAAAACAGTTTTTTTCTCCAGCTGATAATAGAACGGCTTCAGATGAGGGTAGAGAAGCTTCTAATTAAGCCACAAGAGGACGCTCCTGCTCTCACAGCTGCCACGGCCTGTGCAATGATGGATGGTGGGCGCGGAGGGGTCTCTGTGGCAGACCACGGGGAGGCCTTCTTGCAAATGATGAGGCTGTCTCAGCCCCAACCATGCTCTTTGCTATCAGCATCAAACCATCACTCTGTTCAGGGCCTGTTCTGTGTGAGGGGCTGTGCTGAGCTCTAGGAAGCTAAATATGAGCATAAACCATCCTGGAAGAGGCATGAGGCCCTGTGCTAGCTATGCATTACTATAACATGTTTGTCTACTGCTGTGAAAGAGACAGAGAATGAGAGCTGTAAGAGGTGCACAGAAGGCTGCCTGGAGAAGGTGACGCCTACCCTGCATCCTTCATTGCATCAGGCTTTAAGGGACAAGAAGCTGCCCACGTTCCCTGAACTGGCCATGCTCTCACACAGTGGTCCTCAGGACAGGGTGGCTGAAAGTCTACAGATGTTGGGGCCCACCTCAGAGCCTCTGAGGTTGCCACCCAGACACTGAAATTTTAAAAATGCTTCTCAAGTGACCCCGATGTACAGCCAAGGCTGCAAATCCCCGACTGATCACAACCCTGACCTCAGCGCATGTCCTCAACTGTGTCCAGAATCCCTCCCACTTACCACGTGTGCACACGTGGACACAAACACACATGCACACACACCCACGGCAGCGTCCACGCCTGTGTTGACCTCAGGTAATGTCAACCATCTAGGCGACTCTTCCTACACAAAAGGATTCAGAATACCCATGACAGCAAAGACGACTGAGAGTCACAAGGCCCTGAGGGCCAGAGACATTACAGAAAGTAATTACTTAATCCTTATGGCAGATCTTATCAGTAGGTACCATCATTATCACACTTTGTGGTGGAGGAGTAACCAAGGCTCTGGCAATGTCAGAAACATGCCGGAGATTGCACCCATAGGAGGTGATGGAGCCAATGTCTGGGCCTGGCAGTGGAACTCTGCTCAGTGGCCACGCCAGGCTGCCTCTCATCAGCCCGTTACCTCCAGGGTAGACCTTCATGGTGGCTCCCATCCTACGCATTACCAGGGTATGCACACGTGCCTGCTCAGCCCACTAACTGACGCACGAGGCTCTTCCCTTGGCAGTCTCTGCATGCTTACTGGATATCCCTGGAGGCTTCTGGCCTGGAATCCATTCACTACCCCCTTCATTTGCTTGTTTTTCCTTCCAGAAGCTCACAGGGCTGTTGCCACAGCCATGCACTACAGCTCTACTCAGAGGACCAAGGAGGATGTGGATGGCAGGAGATTTAAGGCATCTAGAGAGCCCTTCACCAATCGATGAAATTAAGGTTTTGATTTGAGTTCAGCTGGACAGTTACACTGGAGTACTATTCTCTATCTTGTGCTATTTGGAGACTCATTTGTCTATTTGATTCAGCAAATATTTGCCAAGCACCTAATATATTTTGGTAATAGCTGCAAATATAAATAGAACTCGGCTGCTTCCACG